AGTATATCATTACATTTTCATTTCTACACATACAATATTACTGTGTCAAGTTGTATCCTTATTTTATAATATATGTGTGTGTGGTCTATCCATGACACACTGGAGAAAAGGCCAATTTATACCAATTTTCCTCTTTCTGAAAACTATTTTGCTATTGCTTGGAGCATGTTTCTTTTTCATAATAATATGGCCGATCAATGTCTGACTGATGTCATGTGTTATTATTGTCTTCTTTTTCATAAAATGGCCTTTGGGCTATTCAATAAACTATTCTTGTAGTCTTCTGCTTCATATGCTTTGCCTTAAAATAGTTATCAGACTAAAAAAAAAAAAAATGGAAATGTGGAAGCTAATGCCAGGTGCCATACCTGCCAACCTACAGCTATGTTAAGTGATTGCACCCAATGAACAAGAATTATCCCTACCAACACTGAGCAGAAATGCTGCTTTTTAAGATGTGTTGGTAAACCAGTGATAGAGGTTAATGAATCTGTCCGTTTTCCTCTCTTCCAAACTGACTAAAAAAACAAAACCCTGAAAGTTCATGAAAAAAATTGTGAAATTTAGAAAATTCTTTTCAAAAATGGACCAAACAGATTTTCCACTTGATGATTGTGAAACAGCTAGTACAGCTATACAGTATGGAGAGGAACATGTTGTACCCACCTGTCATGTAAATGTTAAATATAAGGACTTTATGAGAAATAGATGGCAATTCTAATTTATTACCACAAATGTGGTTGAATACACAAAGAATTCAAAGACAGATGTTGATGAATTAAACATTCCAAGTCTGATGCTTTGAGAGCCAAACATGTCAGTTTCCCTTTCTCCCAGATCTAAATAAAGTTATAATAATTTTCTTTATCAGCCCATGTAGTCTTTGTTGTTACTATGTGCCTTCAAGTCAACTCATATGTAAAGTAAACCTGTCCTAGGATTTTCTTGGCAAGCATTATTCAGAGGAGACTTGGCCTTCCACTAAGGTTGAGAGAGTATAACTTGCCAAGTTCACCCACTGGGTTTTCATGGCTGAGTGGAGAATCCTGGTCTCCCAGCTACCTACCCCAATGCTCAAATTCCTTGCTTGGTCTCCCATTCACATATGCCTTTACATGGTTCAGTTACAGTTTTTAAACTTCAAGTTCCTTCTTTTGATTCAATAAAGAAGTTTGCAAACTTTTGCTAAGTTCTTAACAAAAACAAACCAAATGAAATCCTCACTCATATACAATCCAGATTCATCACACATTTCCTGAAAGTACTACTGTATATACTCTAATATAAATTAACCTCATGTATAAGTCAGAAAAGCTAAAACACAAAATGAGCTCAGACTTTCTAGAGAGGTTAAGAACAATAAAAAGAGTTTTTTTTGAGTATGTCTGTAGCAAAAGGAAGAAGAAGGAAATGGTAGGGCCATTGCGTGGAGAAGGTGGCAAAATTCTAACAGGGGACAAAGAAAAGATAGAACTACTCAACACCTTCTTTGCCACAGTCTTCTCACAAAAGGAAAAGGATGCTTAACCTGAGGAAAATGGAGCAGAGGACACAACAGGGGAAATGCAGCACACAATAAGTAAAGAATTAGTACAAAAATACCTGGTTAATCTAAATGAATTTAGGGGCCTCGCAGACGGGCCCAAAGGGCGGCAGAGATGGGGTGGGGCAGCTGCATGCTAGCTGTCCCAACCCCACGCTGGCAGTGTTTTGACACCACGTGCCGTTAGGCATGGTGTGGGGCATCAGGATGCTTTTCCGGTGCAGCATTCAAACACGCTGCACCAGAAAGGATGAAGAAGAGCCCCGTGTCGGCTCTTAGGGTGACCTTTTGCTGCCCCTGAAAGGAGGGCATGGGGTAGTCACGGCCCCAATCTGCCGCTTTCCGGGGCAGCCCAGAGCCGTCTGTGCACCCCACCTAAGTCTCTGGGACCAGATGGACTACATCCAAGAATATTAAAAGAACTGGAAAATGTAATCTCAGAGCC